TGCAAGCCATCTTCACCAAAAATATAAATCGTGCAAAACATATGGACCTAAAAAAATCTTGCACCACCCTAAGCCCCAAAAAATGTTACATACAAGAAAAAAAAATTCCTACACACCACCAAGAGAAAAAAATATATTCTACCCAAAAGCCACGAAGAAAAAAAAATCTTGCTCAGTCACAAAAGAAATCATCCACCCCCCCCCCCTCAAAAAATAAATGGACCGTCCCTAAGTACTGTATGAAGATTGTCTATGACAGCCAAAGAACGCAAGAGCTTTCTAGTTGACAGTCAAAATAGACAAAATAGGGTCATTACCATCGAAGAAATGTAATAGAAAAGAAAAACGAGAAATGGATGAAAAAAGTAACATTCTTTAACATTTAAAGATAAGAAGAGCCTGCTTAGGGTCCCTGCTTAGTCTACTTCGCCAAAAATTGTAGGTCAGTTTTTTTAGTCACGAGTTTTTATACTGTATCTTTTCCAGTTTTCAACGCCCATCTTTTTATGCCGTATAACAGTGTAAAAATTCAGTTGCAACTTGAAAAATTAAGATATTSTTACTTACCTCGGTACTGGGCTGGAAGGTGACTAGAAGTGRTCTTTCTTGTCGTCGTCACAAATTCCATCCATGCCCTGTGCACGTGCTTGTGATAGCAGACAGCCTTTATGTCGAATTCACAAGTGACAAGTATTTGCTCRGTGAGGGAGGGTGCGAACTGCTTTCGGAGTTAGAAATTTGGAACTAGCCACAAGTGGGATAACTGGCATTATTTGAAGGAAGAGAAACAACAACAAAAATTACTTCAGCTTCTATCCGGCAGAGTTTRTACACAWGTAGAGAGAAGGCACTAAATACGTGAAAATTGTACACTGGCCTTTGACACGAGATCAGTTAATTTTCTCTTCTTCCTTCCTTCRTACCGCGACAAATATTAAATGACACAAATGAGAATCATGCCATTTATAGCAATTTGACCCTAGTCCCTATTGTATATGATAMTGCACTTAGACGGAGCGAGCGTTGACTGTCAGTATATTCACCTTTTGTTCTGTAGCTTGTTTTGAYAACAGGTTCTAATCTAACATTTAAAAAAACTCGGAAATCCTTGTCCGTTCTTATCAATGATGTGAAAGGACGTTACACGGACAACAGTCATTCGATGAAGTGGACAAACTTATGAAAAAGAAATCAAAATAAGACAGATTTGCACTAAATTTTCAACTGTGCATAACACTATTTACTAAGAAATTGTACATTGAAATAGTGTAGTCTAGTGTTCCCTCTGAATGGTGGGAATAACAGCCATTGTAGGTCTAATAAAACTGTAGCCTTCCCTTAGTATAAAAGTGGACGTGGGTCACTTTCGGAAGTTTTGAAAATTACCCCMAAAATAGATCTGTACTCTTGAGAGGATGGGCGTGGCAGTGATTCACCCCTAAAGGGTAACCAGCCAGTAATCAATTGGCATTTTGCTTTGGTTTTATGATTTTACTTGTCGTCCCCCCGTCGCCTTTGAATAACTTTGAAATTTAATTGAACAATTCGACATCTGATACTAGATTGATTACACGAGTGCTTGCCTACAATTGTAGCTCCAAGTTGCGCTTCCTCCAAGCCACAGTCAAAAAATATCCCTGCACTCCCAAGGGTAATAAAGACTAGGATTTCATTCCGTAGTGAACCGTAGAACACTTTACTATATAATAAGAGTTATCTTTGATTCAATTTTTCAATGCTTGTACATAAACTCCAAGAGGCCCGAGACGATAATATTAGAATGAGTGACACCCACCATACCCCTTACGATAAATCAATAAGAGATAGATTCACTTTGAAGTGTTTATTGTACTTGTTTTATAAAATACCTTAAAACAGCCCACACTGTTGTGTAAAAAAACTTAAAAAAACAGTTCATTTACTGCGCTATCGTTCAGTATTAGATACAGTTTTTACGAATTGTAATGCTTCCAATTAAAGCAAGCCAAGGCCTTGTTTACTTTAGCTATGTGGGTACGGAATGTAGGTATAGGGTGCCCCTATGTAGTGGGGCCAAACTCTTATGTTTTAAATTCCTCCAGGSAAACGAAAACAAAAGAGTTTGACTCTACTACCTAAAGGCACCCTATCTCACGTAAACAGGGTCTAAAATAAAATTGCAACAATGAATTGTGCGTACATTGGAGAACCGACTGAATCAACTTTTACATAATTAATTTTGCATTAATCCGCTCTTGTAGGCGAGTACTTCCTTAAGAAATGACATGAAATGAACAATAGAATGCCGACAATATGCCGACAAACGTTTTGGACCATATCTCCTATTAGGAAATACAATATACTTACAAGAATGCTTTATAAAACGGTATTAGCTAARCTGCTTAGTTTCTCTCTTTTTGACTTATATAAATCATTCTCGTGTCCAGGTCATTCACAACGGAAAACCAAAGGAAAAGGAGACGAATAAGTATTTGATTCTTATGTTTCAAAACTTCCAAAACATATATCGTACCGACCAAGATTCTGTGTCTTTCCAAGTATAGTCTCAAACCAGAGCCTTCGATTTTACGTTGGGAAGCAATGTGAAGGATTTGGGTTTTGGAATGTTATATAAATGTGCGCATCAAGTGCTTTTGAAGGAAACAGCGCCAGTTTGAATGAATGGTGAATACCGCTGTCCACCTGA